CCCTTTTAGGTTGACTCACATGTTCTTATTTACTTAAATGTCATTCATTGCTATTTATTGTTATTTAATGCTACTCCTTTCTTTTTGGGTCATTGAATATTGCTAGTGTTATCAACATTTATTGCTACTTTGGTAATATATGTATTGTCTTACTACAAAATCAGTTAATATATCTTTTGGACATTAATATTGGCTAAGATTGACTCTATTTCATTAAATCTAATTGTCTAAACTCATATCTAAACTTTGGGTCATACAGTTGGAGCCGTTTGTGGGGACATCTTAGCTAATCTTTTAGTTTCCATTAGATCTACAACTCACGTGATTTGCTACCTAACAAACCACAAAGTTTCTCTCCTTCTCTGCACGTATAGAAATTTACATGGCAAGTAACCAAGGAAACAGAACTAAGGTGACAGGTGACATCCTCGGCAACCTCATGAATGCTATCAACGAGAGCTATGAAATGTTGGTCGATGATGTGATGCCCACTGCCTCCCCCAGGTGCGAGAGGTTTCCTTCCCCCATTGTAGTACAACAAAACCAAATGGAAAAGGGGCTTCCACGTCCACAGGAGAAGGGACGCCACCTGCCATGAAAAAGCCCCTCGAAGCATGGTTAACTAATAACTTAGTAAGCATGCTCAACAAACAAGCTCCATGCACGACCATAGAAACTGCGAGAGCCCACACGGTAATGCAAGGATACGAATAGGGTGATCAACCAGACCCTCCAACGCCAGGTATAACTCACAATGTTACTGACAGTGCAGGTGACGACGTCTTCACCGCTATTTTGAAGAGAATGGAAGAAATGGAGAATGAGAACAAACCGCTTAGAGACCAAATGAAAGAACACCAAGAACGAGTCAACAAGATACTGGGATCCCCTAAGCTACTACCGAAGAGGGACGCCGGCAGTTTCGTAGAGCATCCATAGCGAGGAAGCAGCCCTACATGCCATACAAAAGACCTTCAAAATACCACCATATCTCAGAATATACGACGGAACAACCAACCCCGAAGATCACATGACTCATTACATCAACGTCGTGAAGGGCAATGACCTCACCAAGGAACAGGTGTCCTCCATTTTCCTGAAGACGTTTGGCAAAATCCTAACTGGATGGGCATTAACATGGTATTTTAGCTACCAGCCCGCTCAATAGAAACCTTCGAAGACATGGCCGATAAGTTTGTGATGCGTATGCCGGGGATAAAAAAGTCAAAATAAGAGTAAACGACATCTTCGCTATCAAGAAATCCCTAAGAGAGGGACTAAGGGACTTCCTCGCTTGATTCAACATGATAAAGATGACCTTACCAAATGTATCTGAAGGGATGGCAGTTGCAGCCTTTCAGAACGGGTTTAGTAGAGAGGGTTCAAGAGCGACCAGAAAGATATTGAGCCAGTTGATGAAGTAACCTCCAACCACTTGGGATGAAATCTATAATGCTTATTGTGTCGAAGTCCAGAAAGATGATGATGACCTCAACGGACAAACTCGACGACTCATCTCGATACAAGCCGAACACAGGAAAGAATGAAGAGATAACATGACGAGAGACCATCCAATCTCACGGACAAATAGAGAACGACATCAGCCTTACATCAGGGCCCCCGTCCCTCCTTCCTTCCGCTAGGATGATGGCCCATCTAGGACGAGAATGGGGACTCACAAGAACTATAGAGTATGCCCCCTTGTTATCTGCTCACAACATTTAGGTTTTACCTACATAAATAGTCTACACCCTGGAGAAAATCAAAATAAAGGTGAAATGGTCGTCAAAGATGAGGTCTGAGCCAAGTACAAGGAAATCCGACACCTTCTACGAATTCCACCAGGAACGCGGACACAAAATAGAAGATTGCATCACCATAAGGCAAGGGGTAGTGAACATGTTGCAGCAAGGGCATCTCAAAGAGCTGCTAAGCGAAAAGGGAAGGAGCACCTTCGCCAGGGGTCGAGAACGCCAAGGCCCGCCGAAGCCGCCCTCACCAGCCCACACCATCAATATGATTATTGATGGCAATGAAGATGCCTCCATCAATGGCGTCAAGTTCACTTCCATTCACAATCTCAAAATATCGATCACCCACGAACGGTATGACGGACTCAAAGAAAGTATCACCTTCGACGAGTCAGATGCCGACGGTTTGACTTTCCCTCACAACAATGCCCTTGTCTTTACTTTACGAATTTTAGATACTGATGTTAAATGTATCATGGTAGGTGATAGGAGCGGAGCGTGCATTATCCATCCTCGAGTCCTCACCCATATGAGACTCGAGGACAAGATAGTATCACGTTGCATTACACAAACTCATTTTAAAAATGCAGTTGAACTAACATCAGGAGAAATTACACTACTCGTCCTCGCCCGTGGCATAACTCTAGAGACAACGTTCCACATCATGGACTAAGCCACCACATACAATGCCATAGTAGGACGACAATAGATACATCCCTTGAGAGTCATCCCCTCCAGGCTATACCAAGTGATCAAGTTCCCAACACCTTGGGGAATATTCAACATACGAGGGGAAAAGTGCATTTCCCGGAATGCTTCCGCATCGCCATGGATGGCTCGATGACCCAACAAAAGAAAGATAAGGAAAAAGAAGCATAGCAATCAACAAGATCGAGGTCGACACAAGAAGAGACCAGAAACGTCATTATAGAACCTGAAATGGTCAAAGCCGCGGACTCAACTATAGAGGACCTCGACCCCGTTCAATTAGATCCCAGCGACCCTAGCAAAAAGGCCTACATCGGCTACAAACTCCGAGAACCGGGTAAATTTAGCCAGTTTTTAATAACTAATGCAGATTTGTTTGCCTTCAGCCATGCAAATCTGTCGGGCATCCCCAAGGAGATCTCCATACACAAATTGAATGTCGATCCATTTTATCCCCCTGTAAGGTAGGTCAGACAAAATTTCAACCCCACCATCAATAATACCGTCCAAAGGAGTTAGAAAAGCTATTAGAAAATAGCTTCATCAGGGAGTCGAAATACCGAAAGTGGATAGCCAACATGATGATGGTCAAAATGAAAAACGGGAAACTGAGGATGTGTGTAGACACTTGAACAAAGCATGCCCGAAAGATTCATTCTCGTTGCCACATATCGACCAACTCATCGACGCAACAGCCAGGCACGAGCTGTTGAGTTTCCTAGACGCATACTTGAGCTATAACCAGATACTGATGGAAGAAGCGAACCAGGAGAAAACCACCCACAGAGGAACATATTGTTACAAGGTCATGTCGTTCGGGTTGAAGAACACAGGAGCCACATATCAGAGATTGGTCACAAGAATGTTCAAAGACCAACTCAGCAAGACCATGGAGGTATATATCGATGACATGCTTGTCAAATCCGTGAGGGCAGAAGACCATATCGACTACTTAAGGGAAGCTTTCAACATACCAAGACAGTACGGGATGAAACTAAACACATAGAAATGCACATTTGGCGTAGCCTCAGGAAATTTTTGGGTTTCTTAGTGTCACAACGAGGGATCGAAGTCAAACCATACCAAATTAAGGCTATCGACGGGATACCTGAACAACTGACTACTAAGAAGAGGGTCCAAAGGTTGACTGATCAAATCGTCGCCCTATCAAGATTTATCTCGCGGTCGTCCGATAGATGTCATAGATTTTTCGGCGTACTCAAAAAGTATAACGACCTCGAATGGACGATCGATTGTGTACAAGATCTGTGAGAACTAAAGGTGTATCTGTCATCAACGCCTCTACTCTCGAAGCCTGAACCTAGGGAACATCTTCTCGTCTACCTCTCCGTCTCCGAAGAAGCAGTAAGTGCAGTCCTATTTTGAGAAAATAAAGGTACAAAATCTCCTATTTATTATATTATTAAAACACTCGTCGATGTTGAGACGAGGTACCCACACCTCGAGAAATTGGCCCTGGCACTGGTCGTAGCTTCACGAAACCTTTGACCCTATTTCCAGTGCCACCCTATCTCGGTCATTACCACCTTTCCTTTAAGAATCATTTTATATAAACCCGAGCTGTTGAGGAGGCTGACCAAGTGGGCCATCAAGCTAAGTGAGCACAACATTACATATCAGCCTCGAACAGCGATAAAGTCAAAAGTGCTCTCCAACTTTGTCGCGGACTTTAGCACAAAAGTAATGCCTAAGGTTGAAAAGGAAGCCGCTCAAGCTTCTCTTCAAACACAAGACCTTTGGATCCTATATACCGATGATGAATCCAATTCTTCTGGATCATGACCGGTACTGGCACTCGAGGTCCCTACCACCGAAGTAATTCGACAGTCCATAAGATGCCTGGATATGACTAACAACGAGGCCGAGTATGAGGCCGTAATTGCAAGGTTGAGACTAGCACTTAAATATGGGGCGAAGCGGTTAAAACTCTGTTGTGATTCTCAACTCGAAGTCAACCAAGTCACAGGGACTTTCCAAATCAAAGAACAAAGGTTGCATAAATATCAAGCCGAGATTTGTAAGTTGCTGCCCAATTTTGATGAATGCCAGCTCGACCAGATCCCGTGAGCCTAGAATGTCGAAGAAGACGGCCTCGCTAAATTAGCCGTAGCCATCAAAACCATCATAACTAGGGATAAAAGTGTAGTCCACCTCCTCAACTCGTCATTAGACCAAATCGAGGTAAGATCTATAAGTTTAACTTGGGACTGATGCAATTGTATTATCACCTACTTGAAGGATGGCACACTCCCAAACGACAAAAAAGGAAGCTAAAAAACTAAGAATGCAAGTAGCCAGATACATCTTCCTTCATAACGACTTGTACAAGAGAATATACGGCGGCCCTTTGGCGAAGTGTTTGGGTCCAAACCAAACCCAGCGCGCTCTCGAAAAAGTCCATGAAGGCAACTGTGGTGCTCATTCTGGTGATCGAGCACTCGTCAGGTGCCTTATACGGGCAGGATACTACTGGCCCACCATGAAAAAGGATGCCTCATAATTTTTGAAGAAATGCAAATAATGTCAGAAATACACGCCAATAATTCAACAAGCGAGCGAACATCTTCACTCAGTCACCTCTCCATGGCCATTTATCAAGTGAAGAATGGATATCGTGGGCCCCCTCCCGACAGGGAGAGGTAATGTACGACTTCTTTTAGTTTTAACTGACTATTTCTCTAATTGGGTGGAAGCATGCGCGTTCGCCCAAATACGCGAAAAAGAGGTAATCGCCTTCATATGGAAAAATATCATCTGTTAATTCGGCCTACCCAAGGATATCAGCTGCGACAACGGACCCCAGTTCACGGGAAAGAAAATCGTTGAATTCTTCGGGAAATGGCACAATAAGAGGATACTTTCAAACCCTTATCACCCAGCGGGCAACAGGCAGGCAGAATCCTCTAACAAGTCTATATTAAATATCATGAAGAAAAAACTTGAAGAAGCCAAGGGATTGTGGCTGGAAATACTCCCAGAAGTATTATGGGCATTCAGAACCACCCTGAAGATGAGCACAGGAGAGACACCCTATTCTCTGGTCTACGGAAAAAAAATAGTTACACCAATCGAGGTCAGAGAGCCCAACTTAAGGTACTCACATGAAAGCGGCACCAGCAATGATGAGAGTAGAAGGCGAGAGCTTGATGAGATCGGCGAACGAAGAGACATGGTGTACATAAGGATGCTCTCCCAAAAGCAGTAAGCAAAATGTTACTACAACAAAAAGGCAAAGATATGGCCACTCAAAGTCAGAGACGGACCGTATAAAATTGTAGGCAAAGCAAACAAGGGTTCATTCCAACTAGAGACAATGGAATGAAAACAGTTACCAAATAATTGGAATACCAGCCACCTCAAATACTTCAACTTCTAAAAAGGAGAAGTGCCCCCTAAGTCGTACTCTTTATCCCTCACTTGAGTTTTGTCCCATTAGTGTTTTCTCAAGGAGGTTTTTAACGAGGTGACGGAAGGGACAATTCAAGTCGAAGTATGCGAAGAACAAACTGATTTCTCTTTCATTGTCAGACTCCTCAAGACTCTCCAAGTCGAACAATGAAGGGACTAGATAGAGCGGGACTCGGACTGGAACGCCAGCCAATGCCCAAAGTTTGTAACTTTCTCCAATTATGTAATCAAAGAAACAATGTCAAAGTAATAGAAACTTACATTTATCGAAACCGCCTTAACAAAAGGTTAAGTTTGACTAGGCTCGAACAATACATGCCGGCCCTCGGTTGCGATTTGAGAAAAGGTTAAGTTTGACCCAGTTCGAACAATACTTATCAGCCCTCGACCACAATTTAAGGAAAGGTTAAGTTCGACCCAACTCGAACAAACACCTACCGGCCCTCGGCCACAATTTAATGAAAGGTCAAGTTCGACTAAGCTCGAACAACACCTATCGGCCCTCGGCCACAATTTAAGAAAAGGTTAAGTTTCACCCAGCTCAAAAAAACACCTACCGACCCTCGACCATAGCTTGACAAAAGGTTAAGTTTGACCCAGCTCAAACAAACAGTTATCGGCTCTCGGCCACAACTTAACGGAAGGTCAAATTCGACCAAGTTCAAACAACACATATCGGCTAAATCTAAACGGAGAGACATACTCGACCTATGTAAACAAAGGGTTGATATAGAGCATAGATATTCTGCTCCAAGGCTACGAGAATTGAAGGGGGTGCAAGGAACAACTTTCAAATTTCATATGTAAATAAAGAGTTCTTTACAAAGGCTCTTGAAGACGCCGACAAAAATACACAAGAAAGTTAAAAATAAAAACTACTGGTCATCGCCATCACAGCCTTCAGCGCCCTCGCCGGCTCGATCTCCAATAGCGTCACCACCATGACCACCAATACCCTGACTGTCTCGGTCCCCATCATCCTCTCCATCCTCACCCTGAGGGTAAATGGAATCATACCATACGTCCTCCTCAAGACGATCTATGACCTCTTTCCCATCCTCCTCATCAGGTCGAGGCGTAGCAGGGTCATAGCCACAAGTGAGCCGAGCTTTGCGAGCCTTAGCCCGAGCATCCTCAAGGGCTATCTCAAAAATGGAGCCCACTTCATGCAAGTCCTAAAACACGTCTAGTTACTCCTTTGCATAGATACACTCTTTGTACAACTCCCCAGGGACGTTGGGGAAATCATAAGCATTAGAAAAAGAAAGACGCGCAAGTAGCTGGTCCCTCTCGGCCTCCAGAGCGGCAACTCGATCATGGAGCTTGGAGTTTTCCCTGTCTAGCTCCCCTATCCTCTCCTCGAGCTGGTCCTCGTTAGCACTCGCCGTCGACTGATCATTTTTTTGCTCAGCCCGAAGAGTCTTGCTCGCCAGCTCAAGGATGTCCACCTTCCTCCGAACGTCCAACCGAGAGGACTCCGCCTTCTCGAGCTCCTCCTACTTCTCGGCAAATCTTGCCCCTGAGAGCCTCCGCCTAGAACTGGCACTCTTCAAGTTGTCCTGGCAGCTGGACCACTTGGTCTTGAAGATCGTTGCATTGGGCCTTTATGCCCCTACTGAGCGCGAGCTCCTCTTCTTTGTTTCTCAATATCCCCTCGAGGATGCTGCACTTCTCTACAGCCTGCATCAGCTCTTCATCCCTCTTCTTCAAGTCTTCCTTCAGGGCCCGCACATCACCTCCCTTATGAAGCTGACTTCAGAGATCCCAATATTTACCACGGTACTTGATATATTTCCTTTTTAGCTTCAACAAAATCTCTTTGCGCCTTTTCTCCCTCCAGACGCTCTCGATTTCTAGAATAACCATCTACAAATCAAAGGAAAAAGGTCAGAACTTAAAATAAGCTAAGGCATTAGAAAAAGGTCAGACAGCAGTACTTATCCTGAGAGCAATTCTTCTATCAACGGTGGGAAAAGTAACAAATAACCGATTGTGAACGGATAAGCGTAAAGGGCGCAGAATCCGGGACGATATACCCGCACTTCATCGTCACCCACAGGGACCAACTCTACGTGATCAGGAAGGACAAACTTAGCCATAAATTTGGCTAAATGATTGACCGTCATTGTAGATCGATACCTCTCACTCACCACTTCTGGGGCCTTATGGAAATCGAGTTTGGCGTCGGGGTACCGAGGTTCAATATCCTCCATAGAAGGGATGGTTTCCTCCTCAGTAGCGGTTGCAATATCTTCCCCCTGATCAGGGAATGCGACGTCCAAATGGACTAAGAGATCTTTTATAGGGGCATCAGCTGAGAGATTCGAAATTGTTATAAAGGAAGATAAAGAAGTAGAGAAAGCAACATAAAGGCGGTAAGATCTTACGAAGGAGGAGAAGGATGTTTGCTTGAGAAGTAGAGAGAGTGTAAAAAAACTTCACACTCAACAAGTCCTCCCTTATTCATAAGGTTTGGGGCACCAGAATCGAAATGGCTAATCATGATTAGCACAAAGATCAAAATTGAAGAGTCAATCAAGGGCCACGCGAGAATAGACGCAATGCGTCGGGAATCAACGCCATTATGACGCATGATTTCATGACGTCACTCCATCTCTTGGACCAAATGGTCCCAACAAATCATTCGGGAAAATTAAAGGTTTGAAATATGTGGCCCACAGAAAGCCACATCACCAGCGACCTACAACGACTATGAACCATGTTATTTGTTCGACAAGCTCGACCATAAACGACATTATCCGCTCACTGAGCTCGCCTACGAGGATGACCACAACGAGCAGAGGGACTAACTCCATGATCAAAAATTACTTAGTTATGTTTAGACCATATCGGCATTAAGAGGGCCTTCGAGAGTTTCCACGTGTCCTCGGTATGACTTCAGCAAGAGATGAATTCAAGGTCGAAGTGATCTAGCGAGAGACGAAGGATTTGGTCGAGGAGTCATCACAGGTCGAGGCCAAGGACAGCACTCCTCTTAAAAAGGAAATATAACAGTTAGTTTTAGATAAGCCTTTAGAGAGAATATTCTATGGTTCTGTATTATTGGGGTTTTTAGACATATGTTCCCTTATAAATAGAAAGAGACATAGTTATCGGGGATATGAGATATTCACTTATCAGAGAACACATTGACTTTTTTTGTAGAATCTTGCTTTATTGCACACATACAAATATACCTTTTTCTTAAGATTCTTGCGTAACTTTTCCATACGATCCAAGAACAATCTGAATATTCAAAGGCTCATCAATCATTCATCATTGTCAGAAAGAATATCCACGTATCTCACTCTTTTCGGGTGACTCACATGTTCTTATTTACTTAAATATCATTCATTGTTATTTATTGTTATTTAATGGTACCCTTTTCTTTTTGAGTCATTGAATATTGCTAGTGTTATCAACATTTATTGCTACTGAGGTAATATACGTATTGTCTTACTACAAAATCAGTTAATATATGTTTTGGACATTAATATTGGCTAAGATTGACTCTATTTCATTAAATCTAATTGTCTAAACCTAAATCTAAATTTTGGGTCAAACAGTTTGGCGCCGTCTGTGAGGACTTTTTAGCTAATCTTTGATTTTCCATTAGATCTACAACTCACGTGATTTTCTAACCTAACAAACCACAAAGTTTCTCTCCTTATCTGCACGTATAGAAATTTACATGGCAGGTAACCAAGGACCCAACTAATCATCTGAAGGTGTGAGGGTTTTCTTCATGATATATCTGAGAGGTGTAGATGTTGATAACTAATTATTTTTGTTTCCGAACTAATCATCAATCAACACCTTGGTTTATACGTATGTCTAGTACTCCAATCCCTAGCTCTGTGTTGTTCAGTTGCGTATGCATACCCAATGTCGAACGTCAATCTGTCTTAGCATATACCAATTTTTGTCCTTGTCTAATTAACACCCCTAGCTAATGTAGTTTAGTAAGTATTCTGTAATGAAGAGGAATTGTATTGATAGGGAGAATTGAAATCGTGTACATTAATATAAGAGTTCATCTTCAAACTATTACAATTACTCTCGAAATTAGTAACTAAATCTTCCAAAGGAAGAAGATACAGAAAAGGAAGAAGGGAGGGAGGTTCTAGAGTTAATCTAACCAACTAAGAAAATAAAGAGATGACTTCATAGCATGAGCCCCAATAGATTATGTTTCTCTTCTATATATAGACATCTTCCCCAGGTCCCAAAGGTAATTTGCCAACTCTCCAAATGTGTCTTTCACCGTAGCCACATTTGTTACAATACTCCCGCCCCTAATAAAAACCTTGTCCTCAATGTTCAAGTCAAGAACAACATGGGTTGTACTCTCCCCACACATTATCACCAAACCAAAGTGTTCTGTATGGCCAAAGAAGAATAGGTAACCATGTACATGAGCTAACACAATCGCAATAGAGATAGAAGTTTTAAATTCGACCATAGCTGCAGCAGGCATTCCATACAAGTTGTTTTCAAGTAAAATAGAAGGAATTAATGCTGGATTTTGAGTCACACGGATAATCTAGATCCTTAACCAACTAAATTGTAATGTCCTGATGTTCAAAATGCACATACAAACCTGCCACCTAGTTAGAACACAAAGTCTTTCTCTCAGTGAGCCAACAAGGCTTTTTCTTGAGCCACTGCCACCAACGACAACAATTGGCTTATTAGAAACTCGCACACTAACTGTGAACATCATTGCATTAGTGGCAAACTGTTTTCCCACGAGATAGGATTCAAATAGATGGAACCTGGGTACAATATCGAACCTGG